GGGGGGGGGGCCCCAAAAAAAAAAAAAAAAAAAAAAAAACCCTAAACCCTAAACCCTAAACCCTAAACCCTAAACCCTAAACCCTAAACCCTAAACCCTAAATTTTGAATTTTTAATTTTTAATTTAGAAAAAAGTATATAATATATAATAATAAATAAATGGTTATGATAAATAAAAAGAAGAAAAAGATGAATAATTATTGTTATATATATATATCTACCTCCTCTGTATTGTTTAGTGTTTAGTGTTTAGGGTTTAGGGTTTAGGGTTTAGTAATATAATATTAGGGTTTAGGGTATATGTATTTGTACCCTCTTCTTTTTTTATTATGATCAATTTGCTGCTGCTGTCTATGTCTTTGTGCTGCCTCAATAACTTTTGCTGCTGCATCTAAGAAAAATAAATCTTTATTAAATAAATAATTATTCATTTGCTGCAGAGGAACATAATGTATATTTATAGGTACACGTGATGTAGGTACACCTCCTGCTGCTTCTGCTGCTGCTGATTCTGCTGCTAATGCTGCTGCTGATGCTGCTGATGCTGATGCTGCTAATGCTGCTGCTGATGATTGTGCTGATGCTGCACATGCTGCTGCTTCTGCTGCTGCTGCTGCAGCTGCTGCAGGATCGAGGATCCGATCCATTTGTTGTGGTACTTGATACAGCATTAGATGCTGCTGCTGTTGCTGCTGCTTCTGCTGCTGCTGCTGCTGCTGCTGCTGTTGCTGCTGCTGCTGCTGCTTCTCCCTCTAGATGTGCAACAGTGGGGTCCGTGCTGCGCGTATACTGTATGTGCTGCTGCAGCAGCAAATGCTTCTTGTAGCAGCAAAGGCAGCAAGTACGTAATAAACATTGAGGGCAACGATAGCTAGCTGATGGTTTGCTGCAGATAATACATTTTTTTGCTGCTGCTGCTGCTGCTCTTGCTGCTGCTGCTGCTGCTTGGGTTTGTTCGTCTTCTTCCTCGTCATCTTCTGATGCTGCTGCTTGTCCTCCTGTTTGTGCTGCTGCTGCTGCTGCTGCTGCTGCTGCTGGTACAGAGTTTACTGCATCGCTGCCTTCCGCTGGATACGCAGCACCTGCTGCTGCTGCTGGTGTTGCATCTGCTGCTGTTGCTGCTGCAGCTGCTGCTGGTGTTGCTGCTGAGAGGTGTGGCGAAACTGCCGCAGCCACCGCAGGCGTCGCCATTTGCGGCTGCTGCTGCTCGTTCTTTTGCTGTTGTTGTTGTTGCTGCTGCTCCTCTCGCTGCTGCTGCTGTCGTTGTTGCTGCAGTTACCTGTGCTGCTGCTGTTCCTCAAACGTTCTATGTGCTGCTCTTGAGCAGCAGGAACAGCAGCAGCAACGACAGCAGCAACAACAACAGCAGATCCCGCGGTCTCTGTAGTGGTCTCGAGCCTCGAGGGAGGCCTCGCAAACCCTAAACCCTAAACCCTAAACCCTAAACCCTAAAACCCTAAACCCTAAATTCTAATGTTGTGGCATTATATTCTAATAAAAATAATAACTTTCGTGGTTTCTTTGTTTATATTGTGTTGCTGCTGCTGCTGCAGCAACAGCAGCAGCAGCAGCAACGGACGAAGGCCGGGGGCCCACAGGCGGCAGCAGCATCGCCCCACACCATGGTGATTCTGCTGTCTATACACCACAAATAAGTATTTATTTTATATTTATTTTAATTTATTTAATTATTTATTATAAATAATTAACAAGGAGAAGCAGCAGCTGCTGCAGCAGTAGAGGGATCTACTGACCCCTGCATTAGGGTTTAGGGTTTAGGGTTTAGGGTTTAGCATTTCCCTATGCCTTCTGCAGCGGAAGCCCCTCAGGGGCAAGCTTCTGCATCGGCAGCAGCAGCTCCATTAACAGCAGCAACAACAGCAGCAACTGCAGCAGCAGGAGGTGCAGGACAGAAGCGGACTTGGCTGTTGCCGCAGCAGGAAGTAGATCCAGAGGAGCAGCAGCAAATGTCCATGGGAAGAAAAGGAAATGGAGACTACTGCAGCAGCAGCAGCTGCAGCAGCAGATGCAGCAACAGCAGCAGGAGCAGCTGCAACAGTGATGATGATGAGGCCTCGAGTGTATGTACACTTGAGGATGATGAATCAGAAGAAGAAAGCCCTCCTGCTCGTTGCCTCTTGTGTCCCTTTAGCTGCAACAGCAGCAGCAGCAGCAGCAGCAGCAAACAGACACCTGCTGCTGTTGTGCTGCAGCACATGAAAGACACCCATGGTCTCGATTTAACAGCAAAACATAATTGGCTGCGTCCTACGCAGCAGCAGCAGCAGCAGCAGCAGCAGCAGCAGCAGCAGCAGCAAGATCTTCCTCCTTTAAACTACTATACACGTATAGCGTTAGTATCCTTTTTACGTCAGAAGCAGCAGGAACACGAACAGCAGCAGCAGGAGGAGGAGAAGGAGCAGCAACAGGAGCAGCAGCAGGAGTATAGCAGCGTAATAGATGCATTAAGGAATTTATCTGCTGCTTCCTCTGTGTTTTGCTGCCCTGAGGGTTTGCTGCTAGCAGCAGATAAGGAAGATCCTCTTCTATGGGATGCTTATGAATCTAGTAGTACTGATGATGATGAACCTGCTGCTGCTGCAGGAGGGTTTTCTCCTATAGTTACACCCCATAATACAGAAGTGTATGAACGGGTGCTGCAGCAACGTATTGCTGCTACCAGCAGCAGCAGCAGCAGCAGCAGCAGCAATGCCGCTGCAGCAGGAGAATCAATCAAGAGGGAGGATGACACAGCAGCAGCAGCAGCAGCAGCAGCAGCAGCAGCAACAGCAGCAGCAGAGTCTGCAGAGGATAAAGGATATTTTGCTGGTTATGGCGAGCTGTCTATACACCGCGAGATGATTTCTGATGTTAGCCGCACAGAGGCATACAGAAACTTTCTTCTGCAACATAAAGGTTGGCTGCTGCTGCTGCTGCTGCTGCTGCTGCTGCTGCTGCTTGTGCTGCTGCTGCTGCTGCTCTTGCTGCTGTGGCGGTCGTTGCCAGTGCCGCTTAGCGCCGCTTTTCTATGTTTCAAAGATTAGGGTTTACGGATTAGGGTTTACAAATTAGGGTTTAGGGTTTACAAATTAGGGTTTAGGGTTTAGGGTTTAGGGTTTGTATTGCAGGTATAATTCGTGATAAAGTTGTCTTAGATGTTGGCTGCGGCAGTGGCATCCTCAGCATCTTTGCTGCACAGGCAGGAGCACGCAAGGTAAACCCTAAACCCTAAACCCTAAACCCTAATTTGGTGTAATTTCCTAAACCGTAAACCCTTTACTAGCCAATTGACTTCAAGGATTAGGGTTTAGGGTTTATGTCGTAGGGTTTGTGCAATTAGTTACTTCTTTGAGCATCTAGGGTTTAGGGTTTAGGGTTTAGGGTTTAGGGTTTAGGGTTTAGGGTTTATTTTTTTTTGCAGGTAGTAGCATTGGATGCATCTGCTGCAATTATTCCCATCGCTCGTCGCGTCATCGCGGATAATCATTTTTCTTCTGTTGTACAAGTTGTGCATGCAAAAGTAGGGTTTAGGGTTTAGGGTTCAGGGTTTAGGGTTTAGGGTTTAGGGTTTGGGGTTTCTAGGAGGAGTGGGCGTCAGGCATCTGCTTTTTTAGGGTCTAAGGCACATCGGTGGCTGCTGCTGTCTGTGTTAGCTGCTGCTGCTGCTGCTGCTGCTGCCGCTACCGTTAGGGCTTAGGGTTTAGAGTCTTTAGGGTTTAGGGTTTAGGGTTTAGGGTTTCTTGTGTGTATATGCAGGTAGAGTCTGTGGATTTGTATTGGAAGGACGCTTCGGAGTCTGAAGTTGTTGCTGTAAGCGTGCTGCTGCTGCTGCTGCTGCTGCTGCTGCTGCTGCTGCTTGTGCTGCACCTGCTACTGCACGGTCTGCTGGTGCAGTTATGTTGCTTTTGCTGCCAGTTGTACTGCATGAGTATCTGCTGCTGCTACAGTTGCATGCGTGTGTGCTGCTGCTGTTGCTTATGTGTGCTGCAGCTGCCATCTGGTCCTGCTGCTGCTGCTGCAGCAACAGCAGCAGGACATGTTCCTTTTGCATGCGATGTAATTGTCTCTGAATGGATGGGTTACTGTCTCCTCTTTGAGGGTATGCTCTTCTCTGTGCTGCATGCAAGAGACAAGTAAGCTGCCAGCAACAGCAACAAGAGCAGCAGCAGCAAGAGCAGCAGCAGCAAGCAGCAGCAGCAGCAGCAGGAGATATATCTTGTGATTGTTTGTGTCTATAGGTATCTAAGACCTGATGGTATTTTAGTTCCTAACAAAGCACTAATCGGGGTAAGGAATAACAGTAGCAGCAGCAGCAGCAGCAGCAGCAGCAGGAACAGCAGCAGCAGCAGCAGCAGCAGTAGGAGCAGCAGCAGCTGCTGGTAGCGATGCAGTACAAATGCCATTTTTGTTGCTATTATGCTTGCCTATGCTGCTTCTTCTTGTTCCTGTGCTGCTGTGTGTGCTCCTGTTGCTGCTGTTGCTGTTGCTGTTGCTGCTGCTGCTGCTGCAGGTGTGTACAGCAGACATGCGTGAGCAGCAGCAGCAGCAGCGGGGACCATTTGGTGTGTCTCCTGTTTATGATTTAGATCTATCTGCCCTTAAGATTGACGATTGTCTCCTTTTTAAGGATGCAGATGTACAATTAGTCCCTCCATGTCTCCTTAATCAGCAGCAGCAGCAGCAGCAACAGCAGCAGCAGCAGCAGCAGCAGCAACAGCAGCAGCAGCAGCAGCAGCAGGAGCAACCAATTTGTTTAATAGATTTAAATAAAGTTACAAGAGAAGATATTGAAAGTCTTCGTGTTCCTATTCATGTACGTACTTATTTACTTATTTATTTATTTATTTATTTATTTATTTATATTTGTTTATTTATATTTATTTATTTATTTATTTATTAATGTATAGTATATGTTTGTTTCCGCTTCTTTTCGATTGTATGGATGCATGTACGCTTGAGAGCAGCAGCATCTGCTGTTGCTGCTGCTGCTGCTGCTGCTGTTGCTGTTGCTGCTGCTGCAGCAGCAAGTAATATGCATGCGTTGTGTATATTTGCTGCTGCAGATAAGTCTTCCTGCTGCACCTGAGGTATGCAGCAGTCTTGTCTTTTATTTTAATTGTTTATTTGAGGGCAAACAGCAAAAAGGAAATATTCCTATTATTAATTTTGCTTCCCCTCCTGCTGCTGCTGCTGCTGCTGCTGCAGCAGCAGCAGCAGCAGCAGCAGATGCAGCAGGGACTGTAGTCCTCAGCACAAGTCCTCTCGCCAGGCCCACACATTGGAAACAAACCGTTATTCATCTTCTTGTACGTCTGCAGCAGCAGCAGCAACAACAACAGCAGCAGCAATAGCAGCAACAATAGCAGCAGGAGCAGCAACAGCAGCAACAGCAGCAACAGCAGCAGCAATAACGTGTCTTCTTCTTTATGTATTTGTTGTTGTTAACAGGACCAACAAGGAAATGCATGGAGCACCACCGCTACAGAAAAATTCAGTACGTTGCTGCTGCTGCTGCTGCTGCTGTTGCTGCTGCTTCTGTTGCTGCTGTTGCTGCTGCTGCTGTTGCTGTTGCTGCTGTTGCTATTGTTTGTGTGTTGCTGTTGTTATTGCTGCTCTTGTTGTCGTTGTTATTGCTTCTCCTTCTACCTCGTTCTGTCTGTTGCTGCTGCTGCTGCTGCTGTTGCTGCTGCTGCTGCTGTTAACTGTGGGGTGTATATGCATGCGTTTTTCTTTTTTGCATGCATTTTTTCTTAGGTGCGTTACGAGGGTTTATGAGTATAAACCCTAGCACAAACCCTAATAGGAAGAGAGGTATAGCAATAACAATAGAGATAAAAGGACAAAAAGGAGAAACTATTATTAGGGTTTATGATCTACAGTAAGTTTATCCTGTCTAATCCTGTTGCTGCTGCTGCAGCTGCTGCTGCTGCTGCTGCAACAGCTGCTGCTGGTGCTTCTGCTGTTGCGGCGGCGGCAGCGGCGGCGGCGGCTTACCTGTAGTCGTAAACCCTCCCCGGCCTAGCTAAGGGTTCGAGGGTTTAGGGTTTAGGGTTTAGGGTTTAGGGTTATTATTCAACTGTCTCCCCAATTTCTTTTGGTTATATTTAATTCGTCTTTATCGTTTCTTTCCATCTATTCAAATATTTAGGGTTTAGGGTTTAGGGTTTAGGGTTTAGGGTTTAGGGTTTAGACTGGACACGCAGACAGAGGAAGAGAACGAAAGCAACAAATAGAAGCTACTGTTGCTCCTGATGCTGCTGCAGCTACAGCAGCAGAAGCAGCAGCAGCTACAGAAATATCTGCAGCAACAGCAACAGACGCTGCAGTAGATATATCAGCATTTGCAACTACTGCAAAGGAAATATATATATATATATATATATATA